GTTTTTTATCTATTTTTCTCAACAAATAAGGATGACAACAGCTATCTGTTAGATTATAAAAAAATTCGACTTCGACTTTTCTTAGAAAAACTGGATTTTCTGAGGAAGTTCCTTTAAGTTCTGATCATGAGCCAACCAATACCAATGCTTAAATTCAATCCATATCACAATAAAATCGAACAATGACATTCTCTTTTCATATTTGCTATTCAAACTAAACAGAATTTTTGGTCTAATATGTATATTGTAGTGATACAAAAGAAAAACAATATTTTCGAGAGAAAAAAAATTAATCTACCTGGGAAACAAAGAACTTTGAACTTGTACATCTTATTTGAGATTGTTGTTTTTCCTCGTAAAAACTGCAATACACTTTTAGTATCTGTGCATCATTTTATCTCAGTATGGCCTTCTTCGTTTTTTTCTCTCTTCACTTTACATCACAATAAACACTGACATACATACACCGTTCTGCTGCTTCCTTTTTTTTGCTTCTTAATTAATAATAATAAGCGAATAATAGTTCGTGTGTTTGTCTGTCGAACAGAAAGATATGGTGAAATGTAATTCTCAGCAGTTTTTTTTCGAATCTATTTTTGTTTTGTACACTAAAAAATTTTGAGTGTTGTTTAACACATGTAATTATGTGGACAAACTCTTCAGACCCGACACAAAATCATCGATTCACTGATAATCAACAATATGATTGACAATGGCGAAGTAGGAAAGGTAAATCCAGTCCAATAATCAGTAATGTGTTTACGAGTATTTTCTATATCGGCCGGAAAATTTCTTGTAGTTTGGAACATCTATTAATCTGAACATACACACGAATTTATCGGAGTTTTCAGAACTTGTTAAAAATCCTCGTTGATACTTATCTTCAATTAATTCATATATTTTACAATGAAATCTCGATAATATCCTAAATGCAATCAACTACCATATAATAGAGGAAATACAGCATTAAAATTATGATGATGAATTTAAATAATGTCATTTAATGAGGCTCTCAAGGAAGGTCAAAATCGGTCATGGCTGTTTATTCTTATTGAAAGAATAAAATGTGAAAAGAGTCTGTTTTTAACAAAAAGATCCTATATCATATTCATGTGTCAAAAAGAATTTTTATTTTCTTAAACTTATAATCTCTGTTGTAAAAGTCTTCAGAAAAAATGTATGTTCAGGTTTTAGTCAGTTAGAAGTAACTTGGTAAAATGAAAAGTGATCCGTCAAAATTGGTATTTGATGCTCTATCTAATGTGTATTTTAAATTCTCTTTCTGATTTGAAGTTAACTGACTGGAAGTCAATTTTAATAGTGATCAAAAGTAATATTTGTGCAACATAATAATTTCAAACGTCTTGGTAAATAAATTTGCTAATTTTTCAAACATTAAACTTTAATTGAAGAGCATCGCACATAATCGGTTAGAACTAGAATTTGATGCTCTTTTTAAATATATCCTTAGAATTTTGTTCTGACGTACAGGTGATTAATTATAAGCAAATACCTGGATAAGTAAAAAAATACTGTTTGCACCACACAAATTCACTCTTTTTTCTACTATTTCGTCATTTTTCTACAGGGTATTTTTCGGGTAATTTTCACTTTCTATGGTTGTAAATAATTTCATTTTCTACAAAATCATGGATTACAATAAGCTAGAATAAAAAAAGGATCAAAAACTAGAGAAGGGTGTGGGTGGGGTTGTTGATCGTCTCTTAAACAGCACCCACGTTCACATCAACCTTCAAAGATAGATGAAGAAACAGTTAAGTTTTTTTTCTTTCTTGAAGCGTAATTTTGTTCATTCTGAGAAGGTGACTTTTGTACAGGATTTTTCAATCGAAAGTTTCTTATTAAAATCCAAGAATTTTAAACGTTTAAAATTTGAAATAGATCAGATGGATAGAAGATCAAAATAGGGGGTTATTTTCTCTATAAACAAAAAGGGATATAGTAGGGTTGTTTTGGCAAGTTATGAAGTTAAGTAGTTTTGTTGAATTTACATATATTTTCGAAGAAAATAACAAATGTAAGTTTTAAGTCACAGTTTTTGCGGCTGTCCCTCCCCATTACAGATAGCTTCTCGTTATAGAGAAGTCCTCATTACAGATAGCTTCCTGTTACAGAGAAGTTCCTATTACAGATCTTAGCAACTAGTTTCAAAAGTCGTTGAGTATTATATCTTATGGAAAATATGTGAGTGCCATCCCATGGCGTAAATTTCTGCGAAAAAAACGCGTTCTGAAAACGAGTTTTTCCATAGATGCGAAACGCGTTAATGCTGACCGGTTTGACGCGTTTCACATCTGCTAAAACGAACGCTGTGCAACGATTGTTTTTGTGAAAAATTTCGCAGTGTTTCTCAAACTGTGATGTCGTATATTCTAGATAGAAAAAAAACTGAGAACCGTCAATGACTTCATAGATCATGAATTGCAGATTCAATTTATGTACTCGTTTACATTTTTTCATGGAACTTTAGAACTATAACTTACGTGAATTTTGATGAAGTCAAGACACGGATTCGAACACGAGAACATAGGAGTGTAAGACATGTATACAAACCGTTCAACTAAAATAATCTAATGATATAAGTGTTTATTCTACTGCCATTTAGAGTCTCGCGTAAATTTACTAAATTAGATTTTCAGTTTCCATTTCACTGAATTGAAAATTACCATTTCTTTGGTGCCTATGTTCAATTACGAGTGTGATCTTCTCTTGATACATTTTTTATTTAAACTCTTTCAGATTTAAATTTAGATGTCCAATAGAAACGAATTTAATCGATTTAAATTGTATTTAATATCTAAAAAAATAAATTTCTTATATATAAATTTTAAAAAATTTAAAATTTAGTCTTTTATTTATTTTCTTGATTTAATAGGTTTTTGTAAATGTAAATCCGTCATCGCTTTATCCAATTACATCAATAAATGAAAGGAGTTTTCTTTTGTAAGTCGAATCTCTTTTATTAAAAAGTCACTCTTACTGCAACAATATACAAACTAAAATCATGTTTACTAGTATTGTACACAGTATCACTAGTCATTATCAATTAGTCCGAGTATGAACTCATACTAATAATTATTCAAATTATAAATGACGCGATAATTTTTTTTGTTTACAAATAACCAAAGAGAGTTGCCATACTAATTATGTTAGCATTAGTCTTTACTAAATCTTTTCGAAATGCTCAATATTTAAAACGATTCTTACTTAAACCTTACGAAACACGTTTTCTTTCAATAAAAACGCGGTCAAATGAGTTTTTAAGTAAGAAGAATATATTTCTGTTACACTCTGATGCTTTACATTAGTCTAACTTCGAATCAGGTCTAGATAACAGCCTAGCAACCTAAAAATTTAGAAGACTTCGATTTTAGTTTTGCCTTCATACAGTATGGGTCATGATTTTCACGTACAAAAATAGTGCAAGGAGCAAAAATTTCAAGTGCTAATTCATATCATTTCCAAAGTAATGTTAAAGAATTTACTTTGCTTAACTCATATGCTTCGTGTTGGTGAATTTCTGCAAGATTCTGTATGCAGAACGGATATATTTTCCATCATTCCAAGCAAAAACAATGCAACACGCGTTTGAAAGAGAAACGCGTTTCACGTTTCCCCCAATTTATATCTGTGGAACGCGTCGCCTGTGGACCAAAGTGTATTCGACAGCATTTTAATTCGGAAACGTCTCGAAACGCAATCTCGAAAAAAGCGTTTCGGATCGTTTCAAAAAACGGCGATGTCAAAACGCATTTTATGTAAGTAAGAATGCTGCGAAACACGTCCTGTATTGAAAAAACGTTGCGAAACGCATGCTACAATCTCGAAAACGCGTTACGCAGTCAGTTCCCTTCGTTATTTTACTCCATGGGACATATTAATTTTCAATTTCTTTCTTTCCATTGAATTTGTTGATTGATGTCAATCAGAATTCATCTTGAGTTATTCCTTGCATTTCATCATCGTAATATTTCTTGGATTTTTCCTACAAACTATCACTAAACAAATATGAGTCACCATTTATTTGCACTCGCAAAAAATACCAAGTTAGGCTTGTAAATCAACTCAAACATCCATCATGCTCTTCGTGTGTCTCATAACTATTCAGATTAAAATAGATGACATTTTATGAGTTTTTTTTATTGTCTTTTAATTCTTCGCAAACACTCTAGACTTTCAACAAATGGAAAAAACCTCATTCTGTGTTCTTTTTATCAACAATCGAGAAGCAAGAAAAGGTGCAGAATACACACATTGAGAAAGAGTTTCGCAAATATTTTCAATAATCTCACCCACATAATATAATTTTTGTTCTTTTCAAGAATAAGAACAAAAAGATATGCGTATTAGTGCGGGGTGGGTGTGGGTGTGGGTAATTGAAGAAGAATAACCCACATCCACTCTCACACCCACACCCATACTCTCCTTGGAAAGTTCTTGATTACGCGTCTGGCCGTAGTAGATAATTTTGAAAAAGTCCTGTATTGATGATTAAAAGTTTTGAGCTATATGTTAAACTCATTTTCGACAGCGACTCTCACGAAGAGTTCGAAGAAAAGTATGACTAAACTGATTCTAAATATTTTTTCATATAATATCTACTTACGGCTGACTTTCCTTTCTACTGCACATCAAAGAATAACTATAAATCATCTCACGCTCGTTTAAATCGTGATTGAACACGAGCTCGATACTTTCAATTATTTCACTTCTCCAAAATATAAAATATTCATTTAAACTCAGTATTGCGTCAAAATGAAACGTTGTGCTCTTAGATAACGCTTTGGATGTATATTTATCATTTCGATAACAGCAAAAGCAGTAGTAAACACAAAACAATTCGAAGACGACGACTACAGACGTTATTGTGCGTTATGTGAATATAAATGGACTTTGCAATTATCCCTTCCGAATCAACATCTGAGGAGTCTTGCGAAAACGAAAGATCAACCTCATCTATATCATCGACTCTCAAACATATGGCTGAAAAGATGGGAGTAGCGACTAGTAAAGTTGCTAAAGAACGTAACTTGGATGCATCCATAGTGCTTGAACATTTACCTCCCATTGATATTTGTGTTTTCGGGCGATCAGGTATAGGTAAATCAACATTGATCAAAGCAATCACTAATATGAATATTCCATCATCGGCTCAAATTGATCATGTCACACAAGTGTTAACTGAAGCAACCACTTGTATAGAAGGATTCACATTTCGTTTTTGGGATACAAAAGGAGTGGACAGTTGGCAAGATATAGATGGTATTGATAATATATTTAATGAAATGAGCGAACAAAAAGTACAACCTCTTTTCGTTATTTATTGTGCAGCGGCGAATGGACGTGTCGATAGTGATATTGTTGCTGGGTTTCTAACACGTTTTCGAGAAGCAAACATTCTGATTTGCTACGTAGTTACAAATATCTATGCAGCAAGTGACAGTCAACTGGATGAGCAGATAAGAGGTGGAGAGAAGCTTATGAATCATGTTTTTGGAACGACTCCACAATTGACAGGAGACCTGTGTTATGAATACAAAAATGTATTGGCAACTAACGACGTATTTGCTTGCCGGAATCAAGGAATTCTTATCGGTGTAAATTCTTGCGATTTCCGTAGTAGATTAGGAGAAAGGCCTCCTTTCAATATACACGAATTAATGGATTTTTTAGCTGGAAATTTAAATGATGAAGATTTTACTAAATTTGTAGTCTTAACGATGGCAAATCGACATTTTTGGTCCAGAGTGAGAGATGCGTTTCGCACACGTGTTCTACGAGTCTCCGATACATTAAACAATTGGAGAATAAAAACAACTTCATTTTTTAAATGGTTATTCAAACTCAATTGATAGAAATAGAATCATCGTCTATTGATGTTATATTACTATTTCCTTGTCTTTTTTGACAAAACATTTCTATAATAAAGAGAATTGAAATTGAGAAACATAAAACAAATGTTAATCTATCCAATAAACTAGCTTCCATTTGATGTAAACTTGAGCTTTAGATCATTTTTGGTTGCAGCTGTACCTCTGCAGAATTTTTTCCAATAGTAATGGTACATCTTTTCAAAATGTAAATATATCGGCTGTTGGTCTATTAAGTTATTTTATAGAAGCATTACATGAACTTGTTACATTAAAACTTCTTTTTCTTTTTAAATTGTCAAAGTTTATCTTGAAAAAATGGTTGATATTGTTAAAGAAGTGGGTAACCTTATCAAACTTTATTTTCGAATGAATTATTTACAAATCACTTATATTAATAATATTGTTCTTTAAAGTATTTCTAAAAGAGATTTTAATTGAAATGATCGACAATTTCGAACACCGTCTTCGTTCTTTATGTTTTCGTATTCCAACAACAGATGATCAAATAATGCAAAAATTAGAAAAACTAATTGTCTATGACAAACTACTTGTGGATTATACAATTAAACATGTTTGCGATAATAATAAAAAGATGTTCATTATGAACTTTGTATGTCTTTTTGTGTACTCAAAAAGTGAGTACACTACTAAAATCGGTCAGTGTGTCCGGCCGTCCGGCCGTCCGTTTATTCGATAACTTTCGAAAGGAGAGTCCGATCGCGATGAAATTTTCCACACAGTTCAGTCTTAACAATATCTCGGTCGAGTTCGAAGATGAGAAGGATTGGTCGAGCCCTTCCTGAGTTATTGCAAAAATACTGATTTTTCCCTATGGTTTTTCTATGGAAAGATCGACGTATCGCCGTTTTCGTAAGAAACTTTTCTATCAAAGTCGAATAAAACCCATTTATTATATACCATTCGATAGAGAATTTCACGAGCTACAAAATGGTATATGATATATAAAGAAATAAGAAGGTTGACTCACCTATCACAAAGATAATTAAAGAGAACTAGGTTATATTTTTGTCCACGATCTAATTGATCCACGCTTAGAGCTCTATCTTCCGATCATACAGATAATAGTTGGAGGTTTTCTGGAATGGAGAACTCGAATCTATAATCGAATTGACTCGAAGCGCCATTGGTTGAGCACTGACCAATAGAAATCAAGTTATAGGAAAAATGCCTTTCTTCGGATAACTCAAGGCGAAGAGTCCAAATCTGAGCTGTATTCACCCAGAAATCCTGTTGGTTGAGCAGTAGCCAATAGAATTCAAGCGTTTATAGAAAGGGCTTGCTAAGCTAATTTTTATATCCACACATTCTAGGATGACCGATTTGTCTCATTCACTTTTTGAAGTACACATAACTCTCGGATTTAAATCCGAGGTTTCCACATTTATTCTGTTCTGAGTCCAAAACTAGCTTTTAGAAAATTGCATAAAGGAATAGTTAGCATCGAAGTTTTTGTACCTTATGTTATCTTTATAACTTTAGAGACGATTATAGAATTCTAAACAATTGTATGAATTGTTTATCTAAATGTCCATTTGGGTTTCAACAAAGTTAGTTTTGAATTATTTTTAAAGTAATTTAATAGAAGTTACTTTTACTTTTCTTGTAGCTATTCCTATTAAACCAAACAATGGTTCTTATTTTGTTTGTTTTTCAGAGTATTCGGTCACCATATTATAAGTGCATGCTTGTTTGACCTGTGAAATATAGAAATACTAATTTCATTTTCAAGAAATCGATTACTTCTGAGTTTGAGCTTGAAAAGAAAAAGAAAGTTCCGCTTATCTCTTTGAGATTCTTGGAGAAGGGCAACTGTTCAATCTGACCAGTGTTACTCGTGTATAATAGATCTTACTCTCCTTCGAAACTTACCAGTATTCGATCTATCATAGATCGTTGTTTTTTGTGTGTTGTACACGAGACGAATAGCGATTGTATTATTGGAAAACTCTTCGTTAAAAATGGAATGTGATTTCAACAGAATTAGACACAATTTATCTAATTAAACAAAGCAAGGTGTTTTCACACTAGAAAGTGAAACCCATAGAGCAATTGCTACTTTATTTTACGATCATGTTTCAGTTCATCAAGTTTCTTCAAATCGAAGCGGCTTTCATAAATTTTGCCCTACTTTTAGTAGATATTACTGCAGATGGTTGGGTCTTGACTGCCTTTGTTGTTGCATACATCATAATTTTTAATATACGTCAGAACATCATCACAATGCTTACATAATGACTACTTTGATTGTCTGATTTTCTTTATGTATCACGGAATACTTTATAATTGATCTTCATAATACATCTTTCTGATTGTAGGCAACAAAAAGAAAGTCGGGGATGGCGACTGTCAACGATGAGCTGCTATTGTAGAATCTGAACATCTTACACTTAACAATTGATCACACCGGTATAATCTAACGGTAGGATAAGAGATCTTCAATCTTTCAGTCTGGGTTATATGCAAACAGTATATAATATGTGAGAGTTATCTTTAGAAAAACTCAATCTTCTCACTTCGATATGACAACATAAATAAACAAGATCATCAAATCCAAGTACCGGTAGTGTTTTTTTTCTCTTGATTGTTTGATTAATTCTGTGTCATTGACTAAAGATGATGTCGTAATTTCTTGCGTTCTGTACGAACACTATTCGATACTCTCTGTCAGAAAAGAAAGAAAACAGCACAACTCAAATATTTTAAGAGCAACATTTTCTTCTTTTCTTAAATTTCTGATTTTAAGAACTGAAATTTTTCTACCAGACGCACGATCGAATAGTTGGACCCAGTAAACATATTTGGCCCTCGTACATCTCCTAATCAGATTCTTCTTACGTGTTATCACAAATTTAATCGCTTTCTATTATGCTGTCGATATTTTAATTCTACACTTAGAATACAGAATCGTAATCGAACCTTACTCTCGATGTTCGATGGCTCAAAATATATCATAACTCTTTTTGAATACAATACAATCTTCATTATGCACAGTTTCGTACGATGAACATCTTCAAGTTTTTACAAACGACTTTTTATCAACGATCGTGCGAGACACAAATGACGTGGAAGAACATTCTCTTTAAAAGATTATGTTCAGTTCGAAGCACTAAATCAAATTTAACTAATTTACACAGAATTCTACTAGATTGTAATCAATTTATCTATTATAGAAACCTATCTGCTAGATGCTATTTATTAATATAATACTTTAATAAATCAAACAAAAATTGTTCTTCATGTTTAATTTTAATCGACTATTAGAAAAATATACTTCAATGTGACTTAGGAAATTTAATAAATTTGGTTCAATATGTGTAATTGAAAAAAAAAACATTTTCAACAATAATTAAATATTCAATTCTATGATTTGATATTTTAATTTTTTTTTTCATAATGTTAGCTGTTAGATGAAAAATAGAGAATATTTCTCTGATCAGAAAGAATCTTATTTTTATTACTAACTCGTGTATGTGAAACAAGATATTTACATAGTAACACATACATATTAACTTAATAAAGCTATTTCAATCTTTCTTTTCATAAATAAAATTGCAATTATTTTTTGTTATTTTCTCATCGAAGAAATATTCGAATGAAACAATGATCATAACTAATCTTAAAGAAAGTTGCATAATTATTACCAGTTATATGAGGCCTGGAAATCAAATTGTTTCTTCAAACAACCTTCGGAAAAAATACGCTTATGAATACAACAGTAATTATTCTTTTTATCTTGTATTAGATTGAGATCCTGACCCTTCCAATTATCTTGATATGTTTACTGTATGATCTCACAATGTACATGAATACGTCAAATTTGATATTTTATCATGTCAATTAAACATAACAATGGAATAATAATCAGATGAAGAAAAGAAAAGTGCTCTTTACAAATAGGAAAGTACATTTGCACTTTTTTATGTGCTCCATAGATCAATCGTAGAACATCTCTAATATTACAGGTCTTTCTTGTTCTATCAATCTTGATCATTCGAAATTGCATTTAGAAAAGCGAAATTAAGGTAGTAAGAAATATTAGCTCTTCAAAAATATTTAAGGCTAAAATCACAGTATCTACGTGTATGACGAAACCGCAAAGACAAACGTCTTATTTACAATTCGAAAGAGATACTGAAGATGCTATTCTTATAAAACTTGAATTAACTTCCTCCTAGCAAACTATAAAAAGAAAAGCGAACTGATTATTTCAAGATGGCGTTTAAATACACTCTTTTGAATGCTTTATGTTGAGATTTGTACTTTTTACTATAGAAAAGCAAGATTTTGTGCGAATATACTGTATCTTTTCAAACTACCAATCGCAAATCTGACCAGATCGACTACTTTTGATCAAACGACAGTAAACAAGCTAGAAGCTCGATAATATACGATAATTGAATTCTATGGAGTACTCAATTAAATCTAATTTTCGTGTTATAATGAGATATACAATTTGCTAATAATATTTCACAATTAGCAAGTTGAAGAGCCTGAACATCTTTGACGAAAATTTTTGGTGCCGTCGCCAATAAACATCTGAGATAGAGAACAACTAGGTTCGAAGAAATCATCGGGAAGTAATTGGAAAAGAAGTAAAAATGAATGTAGAGAACCTCATTAAAAATTGACATGACTATGACTGTGCTACAAGAAGAACTGTGGAAATTATCAGGGTGAATCAAGATTATATTCAATGATGAAACGAATAGAGTTTTCAACGATACTTTCAAACCATATAGAGCATCTCTGGATAGTAGAGTGACGGGAAACTAGTCGTTTAGATCTATACACGCTTTACAATGAATTGCTTATCTAGCCATTGGTCCTTGAAAGTATTTCGCATGAACTGTTCGAAGTGTAGAATCCGAAAAATTGTGTAGATGTTGTGTGGAACATTCACTTTCATTGTGTTTCTCATATAAAAACATGTCGTCGTCAAATAAGAGATGAGAAAGGTCTGATTCAATGATTGTTTAAAAACATTACTGCCAATATTCGTTTCTTCTCTCTCTGTTTAGCAAAAACCTAATTGACACTTGCATCGTTTGGCAACTCATCGATGAATATTTTGACGGTAGAGAGTGTGCAAACAGTAAATGTCCTAAGCATCATAATTTGCTGAAGTGTTTCACTAAAACAAACAGCATGAAAGAATTGCACTCAATATTTTTGCTGTGTACTTTGCCGAGAGAGATAATATTTGGTGGATTATGATATTCGGATACCAGGGATCTTATTTCTTTTCTTTTGCGAGAATAATTTCTTTCTGCATAGTGCATTAACACGTTGACTGTTCCCCCATAAGAAAAAAATAGTACTTGTTCTACGGCCCAAATATATATATATATATATATTTTTTTTCTTTCTGCAATGCATCATATATGTCACGCATGGATGTCCCAGTCAAAATTACCATGCATCACATATGATGCACCGGATAGTTAACGTGTTAAACTAACATTTAATATTGAACAACTTGCACAACAATTAACATTAAAAAATTCTAATGCACAAGATTAATTAGCTAAAACAATTACAACATTTCCAGCTGAAAAACAATTTTTGAAATTTAATTTTATTGGATCAAATATGATTCTTATCAATATAAATCCTTTTTATTGTATTTATTAATCAATATTTGTTATTTTATTTTTAAATTGTTTAATAATCGTAGATAAAACAGGTACACCACAAAATTTAAGTACTATTCTAACTAGTGGACAAACAACATTTAATAAAGTACGCATTGATGAAAATCGTTCTAAGTAAGTTAGTTAATTAATTATTACGAAAAAATGGCATCATTAATCTTTATTTATAAATTAAAAAGTTATAAGCATTTTTTCTACTAGTCTTCTTTTGAAATTCTGATAATAACTGTTTTTTTATTGCATTTGAATGTTACCTTTGTAATGTAAACACGTGTTTTTGTACGAGGCGTACGACATCGTACTTTGATTACACATGTGCCGTACTTTTACCTTTTCGTTGCACTATGCATTCTGTTCTCTATAAAAACACATAGAAAACATTTCTTCTCTCATTTTGATCATCAACATGTCGTCGAGCAAAGAACGTGTGTTTGTGACTGCAGCAAGTGGAAATATCGGCAGTGGTGTTGTTCGTGGTCTCATCAAAAAAGGAATCGATACGACAGCGTATGTACGAGACGAACAGAAAGCCAAAGATCTATTCAAAGATGAGCTCAACACTGGTCATCTCAAGTTTGTCGTTGGTACCTATTCGTCTATCGATGTATTCACAGAAGCAATTCGAGGACATACCCGTCTCTTCCTTCTCGTTGCTGCTGCTGCTGATAGTAAACCAGCATCGATGAGTCAGATCAAAGGAACTTTTGGCAAGATCGCTTTCGAACAAGGTGTTCGTCAAATTGTCGATCTCTCTTCAGCCTGTGTCAGCAGCTATGGTAAGAAAGGCATCATCGGCTATATGCATACGGCAGCTGAGGAAAAACTGTGGACACTTGCTGATGAAAATCCTGAGCAATGTTCACTTGTTATACTTCGTCCTGGATCGTTCATGTCTAATCATTTTATGAGCGATGTTCATCATATCAAGCACTCAAATAAAATTGTCTCTTGTGGATCGCCCTCATCGACAGTGACTTGGATTGATACAAAAGGTGAGTAGAAAGAACGAGAAGTTACTGAACATCGGAAAGATATTCTCAATTAATCACTAGCAAGAAGTTCAAAACAATTTTGTATATCTTTTAATCTGTGATATGAGACATATTCGTATATTTTCTTTTTTTTTTCGTTAATAGATATCTCTGACTGTGCTGTGGTTGTTTTGAGTGAATCAGTTGAGAAACATGATCGTAATGTCTACGATATGGGTGCTGATGCTTTAAGTAATGAACAACGAGCAGCTGTTTTTTCCAAAGTGCTAGGTAAACCTATCATATATGAACAACAATCAATGGAAGACTTCTACAAGACACTTATCGGTTTCGGCACGTCTCATTCGTTCGCATACAATTTTGCACTGGTTTCTTCGAAAGATATCTGTGAAACTACTACTCCGCAAATAGCCATTATTATCGGTCGACCATTACGTTCACTCGAAGACTGGCTCAGAGAGAACATCAGAGCATTTGAATAAAAAACTTTTATCGCACTACAGGATTGACATTGTATTCTTTTTATCTCTACAAAAATAAAATTTCAGTTGCATACTTACATTAATCGCATAATACGGAGTTTTTAACAGCCATGATCGATTCATAAGAAATGTGTTCAATCGAAAACTTCAGATGCTGCTCAAATTAATATATGTGATATGCACAAGAGTTTGATATTTGTTATCGCAAATCGCATCAAAAATTATTGGACATAGATAAATGAGTGAATGACATAATATCATTGTGGAAACATTTTTCTCTTTAAAGTATACTAGTGGAAGTACCCGGTGTTATCCAAGAAAGTTCAATCTTAATATATGTAAGGAAAATTCCTGTTGCACTCAAGAACATGTAAGGAAATCTAATCAGTAGGGAGTAGACACGTATAAAATCCTATTTTTTTGTCCCGGTCCTAATTCTGGCTCTTGGATGTATTTTAAATCTCGATCCCAGACGGTCTTTCTCTCAGTGGATATAAAATACTAACATTGAAAAATTGATTGGAAGTGAAGGATTCTTCATCCTTACACGTCTAGATCAAGAAGAGCTTGATGAAACTTATGAGTTCTATCCACTTTTCATCTTGGTCAAGCATTTATAAGAGCACATACCTATCTCAATCAGTTCCAATCCCGACTAACTCCGGTTACGCTTGGTCACGTACTCGGTTATGGAGCCATCTAGTCGTGTTTCTAGTGAGGAGTCCAAATGAACAATCGATTCTTCGACAGCGTTGCAAGAAAAATCCGTTTTAATCGAAACTAAACACAACGACACATCTAATTAATCTACAATGTCGCGTTCACAATACTTATTGATCGGAAGAATTACGACGATATATCGTATTTTGTACTATTGCAATCACACTGAATTCCGATTGGTTGAAAAGAAAGAAAGGCAGAAAGATTTTTGTAGGACAGATCCTTTAGCAACGAAAGGTGTCGATATCTATGACGAACAAATTTTGCATCTTATAGACTATTTATTCGAAATCTCCGCCTCACACGACTCTCAGGAAACCAATTTCTGCAAAACTTGATTTGTATGTGACATGGATCACCGAGTAAAGCCATGGGTGCTCCAGTTGGGTATTGAGCTCAACAGACATCCGATTTTTAATGTTTTTCCTCCAATCATCCAATGATATTCGTTTTCCCCAAAACTCAATTCTTATTGGTTTCGGGCCGATCAATAAGATTTTAAGGTGAGTGGACCCTAATTCGAACTCACCGCCTCTGAAAGCTTCCACCTGACTTTTTCCCGAAAACGCAAGTTTGATCAGTTGCTTTCTTGGCAGCTGAATTCCTATTCGTTGCGGACCAACCGATCAGATTTCAAGGCGATTGGACCCTGATTCAAACTCAATGCCTATAAGAAACCTCTGCCTGACCTTTTTTTTTGCAAAAGCGCACTTTTGATTAGCCGGTTTCTTAACAACTGAATTCCTATTGGTTTCTGGTCAACCAATAAAAGTTCGAGGCAAATGGGTCGCAGATTCGAGCTCAGCACCCTTGAAAACCTACGGTAGCGGCATATATCCAAAAATCAGGAAAACTGGAATTCATTTTGATAGTGATTTTCAGAATCAAATTTGCATAAACGTGTAGGGAGCAACTATGGTTAACACTTTCAGGGTCATAACTAAACCAATGGATGGAATTCTGTTGAGATTTTATATCTAAGATGCTTACTATGCATTGTTGCTATTTTCATAAAAACTTTTTTGAAAAATCTTTAAAATCATTTTTAGTCCATGCCCGCCACCACCAGGAAGATGACGATGAAATATTTTGCTCATTTCTGTAGAGGAGTACGAATATGAGTCAAAATTCTATTGAGACTTATCTAGAAATCAACATTTGGAATATGACTAGGAGTCACTTCTAACGTGATTTCAACATTAAAAATTAAACCGTTTCGCGGATCGCAAAAGGGCATTGTCCGTCCTCCTTTTTAGAATAGAAGCGGTGCTGCAAAATCTCGTCAGATTCCTACCTTAGTAGCCGTATTAGGATGATAGCTCTTTTATAGATATGTACACTGAGACCTTCTCTATGTTATAGAGAAAACAGTTTCTCGACATGTTCTTGCATTGACAAGTTATTCAAGGATTATGAAACTTGAAAAACCGTACTATATTTAGCATAGTGTGTCTCAAAAGGTCAGTTATAATATTTTTCTGATCGGATGCATCTGCGAACACAATTTGCGCTTTATAAGTAGATAAAGTACATTGAGAAGTTTATTTATTTTAATGTTCATCAATATGAACATGAATTTAACAGAAAATAAGATGGGTGTGGGTGGGTGGGTGTGGGGTGTGGGTACGGGTGTAGGTGTGGATATGGATACAGATGTGAGTCTTTTCTTCAATGACACCTACACTCACATACACCCTGGAATATCGCTAAGGCGTACATACAATTCTTCAATCTTTTTCTAATATTGATTTTTTTGCAAGTAATGTTTGTTCTTCTTATGGATCTTTTTCACTAAGACATACAGTACGAACAAGAATATCTGTTACAGCATATGGATCACAATTTGATGCTGGACGACGATCTTCTAAATAACCACATTTTTCTTCGCCAACTTGACGAGGTATTCGAATTGATGCACCACGATTGGCAATACCAGCTTTAAATTGATTGATCTAGATAATGTAAATATTTCCATAGAGACATACATGTCTAACGAAAGTACATGCTCAACTGTCGGACATTGTTCGAGTTCAGATTATAGTTACGAGTGAATTTCTGTGAGAGAAAGACAAGCCTGAAAGGGTTTCGGTCTATAACAGCTTTAAGAAAATTGTTTCCAACAAGGAAACATATTCAAGTTTCTAATCACTTTTGAATTAGAGCTACCAACAAGCTGCGTTTCGAATTTTGATTGATATTTCGCACAGAGCCAGTCCTTAATTAGAATAGTTTATTGTAAAATGTTCAGATGATTTTATTTTTCTTATCCTAAGATACGACTATAGTAAAATTACGTTATTTAATTTCACCCATTATACACTGGTAGATTTCAATAATCTTATGTCAGAATTGAAGCAATTTTGAGATAGATTGCGATATTGTACTAAAAATATCTTAAAAATACAATATCTTGGCAGTGAAAAACAAATAGCAAGAAACTTAATCAAAGTATTCATAGTTCAATGTGATCTACATGATGTATGTCGTTGCTCCAACTCAAAAGCACTTTGAAACTTAGATACATTTTCTTGTCCGGAGGAATTTCACTGAATTTTGTTGAAATGAAACCCACTCGTAGTCGTACTATGAAATCGAACGCCTTTCGATAGTTGAGTATGTTCTCGTATAAAATGTGTGTTGTTGATTTAAACTTACATTTGCTGTTTCATGTCGTCCGGTCAATCGCCGGTCATTATCTCTTCCATAACATCTTATGTGTGTTTCATGACGTAATTCAAGTGCTTTGATTGCTTTATCGATAGCTCTGCAAAAAAAGAATTTCTTAGGTAACATGCAATGCAGAAGTGTTTGCATTTATATCAAACGTTGTTAGACTATGTTGTTTTCTTTCCATTCAATTAAAATTTTCTTTTATTAGAAAGAATAATATTGCTAACTACAAAAGTTTGTACCGAAAATATTTGAAACATTATAATTGTTCTTTTTTTTGGTAATAGAAGAGAATTAGAAAACAGTTTCTAAGATCTTATTGTTTATTGATATCAACACTGTTGTTGATATCTTGAATTTCTTTTTTGTATTACTTGTTGAAATTTCATATTCATGTTTGAATGCTTCTCTCCTTTCTAGATTTGTCTTCAAAAACAAATGTTGATACTAACTTTGTACTTCAAAAATTACTCTTTTGAAAAAAAAAAGAAATATATTGCTAGGCTTAGAAGTCATCAACATAGCATAACAAAGTTTGATATAGTTTCAAAAACTATCGTATCCTATGTTACTTACTCGATGCCATTAGGTTGACGCATAGCTAAAGTTGAAAAATTAGTATGACATCCAGCACCATTCCAATCACCTGGAATAGGTTTTGGATCAAAACTAACTTGTATACCAAACTCCTCAGCAATACGTAATAATAAATAACGTGACATCCAAAGTTGATCACTAGCATCAACACCTTCACATGGACCAACTTGATATTCCCATTGAGCTGGCATTACTTCAGCATTAGTACCACCAATACTAATACCGGCATATAAACATGCTCTGTAATGTGCTTCTACAACATGACGACCGAGTGCTTGACTTGCACCAACACCACAATAATAAGGTCCTAAAAAAAAGTACGAAAACGAAATAAATGATATCTGTTACATCTGTGAGTTCTTTTTTTTTTATACTAACCTTGTGGATGTGGAAATCCACCTTTTGGCCATCCAAATGGCCAACCATCACGATCTAAAAGTGTATATTCTTGTTCAAGACCAAACCATGGATGTTGATCATATGCTGCTTTCATTGCTTCAACACATTTGAATCGTTTGTTTGTAGCTTGAGAAAAAAAAACATCCTATTGAAAATGCTCTATGATTATGTTTTATTTCTTACCGGCTGGTTCTTTACTATATTTGCATGTTTCACACATAACTAATATATTTTGACCAAGCATAAATGGATCTTTAAAAATAGCTATTGGTTTAAGATAGGTATCTGAATTTGAATCTTCAGCTTGCCCGGTTGATACACCAGAGAAATGCCACCAAGGTATTTCTTCTGGTGACTGTGGTTCTTGATCAAGTGTTCGAGTTTTAGCTAAGCAATAGAAAAGAACAACGTTAATTAAAAGAAAGGATTATGTTGACCTAAAATAATTTATTACCTCGAAGATTTTCTCCAGTACCATCAACCCAAATGTAGGTAGCTATGACTTTAGTGTCTGGTTGTGGTAATGCCAAATATCGAGTAAGAAGAGCTTTGTTCATAATTGCAATACTTCCTCTTCTGAGTTCCATAACTTTGATTTTAGATATATGTTATTTCAATCTGAAAACAAAAACGTCTAATGATAACCATTATATCGAATAGTATTTTTCATTTTCATAGATCTTACTCTGCTGATCCAGAAAAAAAATATTTTTCAACATTTGTAAATCGTTTTTTTAGATTGGAAAAAAACATTGTTTTTAGTGTTTATGAAATTTATTATATTAGTCATATTCGTATGTTTTTGTAAGTCTATCTCGTTCTCAGAGCTGGCGCGAGGTATTAAAGATTGGGAGGAAGGTAGGAAAATTTTTTGAAAATTTTTAAGATTTTTGAAGAATTTTAGAAATTGCTCGTTCTTCTATGTAACTAATGATTCGAGATGTTTTATATTGGTTAATTTATTGTACCACAAATCATAAAAGTATACTTCATCTGTTTTTTCTTTGTCGAAGAAAAACACCTAGAATTTTGTTTATATTTTTTTGATTTTTAAACTTGTCTGATTTCCATTAACTTCAGTTTTCTTCGAATTTTTACACTAGCTGAAATTTTCTGCAAAGAAGATGAAAGGTTCAGTTTTCATACTGATTTCGAATTGGATAATTGTAACTGAATAACATATACTTTTAATAAGGGAAGCGAGAAATACATGCAGAATTTAAATCATTTTTTATTAACTTTGAAAAATCAATGCACATATATTATAAACTAGGTTTTATTAATCAACAACTCAATCTCTATTGAACCATGTATAACAAGACAATACTTTACTTGTATTTTGCCCTACAAACACTCTGGATAAGAAAAGAATACTATGAGAATATTATTTCTTGCTACTTTGCTAGTTCTTATCCTTATATATTTCTTTAGTCCTATCGTTGCTGTAAACAGATAACGTTATTATTTGATATTGACTTGCTTTTTTTTTCTTTCTTCCTCGTGTCTGTAGTTTGTGTTTGTATTTTTTGTCCCTAACAGACATCTATGCATCTTATTAATAAAATAAAAGAAGAGAAAGTTGAAAAAAACAAATAGCAACAAAAGTGTAATAATAATACTTGAAAGGTAATGAAATAAACAAAATCAATAAATATTGAATATTTTTTAAATAATAAATTGTGAACTATTCTGAAATGAAAATATAGAGAATTTGATAACATCAAGGAAAAAAGTATTTTTTCTTAATACGAAGGAGAATAGCAAGGACATGGTAACATAAACAAGAGCACGACAACAAATTCTATCCATGACAACTATGCTACAGAAAAGATATTATGGCAGATAAGTATCAAGACACTGCAACTGTGTTTAACTTGTTGACATGTTAATCAAGTACAATCTATGTGACCTAAATTTTATGATTGAAAGAAGAACGGCAATTAGTCAGTTAGACTATTTCTAATAAATAGTTCAAACTAATATCCGTATGTTTTATCATTTCAATCAATTTTTCTAGGTCATAACGAGGCTTGTAAGAGAATAAATACAAAAAATCAACAGAATTGTTGTACTACACAACGTCCGACCTACATATACACATTGATTTGAGGAAAAAAACAAACTTTTTGTAATAATATTGTGTCAAACAATCTGCATAATAACCTTATCCATCATTGCTATTAAGAACATTAGCAGTAAATAAATACATTAAGTTCGTAGTTTTTCTAACGACTATGAATGCTTTTATTTCAAATAAAAGAAATATTAACAATATTGGCAAACAGACAATAGTTAAACTTCCTCCTGTATTAGAAATCCACCAGGGTACGGTCTATATGAAAGAACTATTAGAAGTCTAGGGCTTGTATTGCATCCGAGAGTTTTCAAAGTTTTTTCAAAACCGATCTTGGGGGTGTGGGTACACATATTTCTTCACGTACTGATACCAAAACCCGACACCCACACCTACGTTCTGATAAATAAAAAATTGATAATTATACTGGCCTCGTAGCACCACTCTATGGGAATATAGGAATATATAGGAATTGACCACCACAATTTATATAGGATTTTCTCGAACTATATAGGAAATATATAGAATACTGATTTTTGCTCAAGTCTTTAGAAGTCGGAGAAATCTTTCAATTGCATTGAAGATTATAGACTATTTTATTTGATATGTATCTGATGAACTAAAGAAAAATATCTGTGACTTGTGAAAAACAGTATCATAATAAAATATTTCTTTCAGAAATGAAAAACAATAATTTGTGTTTGATTTATTTTCAACTACTCTACAGATACTAAACTAAAGGATTATAAACGCAACCAAATGCAATAGAGACCACAAAGAATTTATTTTTTGGTTTACACAATATAAACTATACCTCTTTTTAATACTATTAAAACATCTGTCATACCTAAAAGTATATTTTGAAATATATACAAGTGTAAATCTGTTTTAATTATAAGCAATCGCTGAATCAGTTGTAGTTTTTGTCGTTTCTGCTATTCTTGACCCAAATCATTTTTTCGTTCATTTCTTATCTTAATCAACTGTTCTGCACTTTCGACATCTGTTCCAGATCGTTTTACTTTCAGTATTATCATAATTAGTTAATCTTGTAGCTCTAACTAGATCAAGACTATTTATTGATTGCGGATTCTAGTAAACGTCCACTGTTATTGGTGGCTGTCTAGTCGTCTTCATGAAGTTCATGCTGAAAATTTGTTAGTTTCATTAATATTTCTTCTTTTTCTTACAATAATTGCTTACAGACTTCATTTACACAAACATGTTCTGTATTTTCTTCCATTAAACGTCTTATTGCTGCTTTCTTGACATTCAGATCAAAGAATATACGACTTTTTTTGCGAGGAATCTTCAATTTTTGGAAAAATATAGGAATATAGGAAAAAACCTTGAAATATAGTCCATTATAGGACTAATTTTAAAAATATAGGAATTATAGGAAATATAGTACCACTACGAGGCCAGTAATTATAGGTCTGATGTCTCATTATCCTATAATGTACATCAACGAATATATGAAATTTCTTTTTTTTATCTCGTACTCTTTCGTCTTGATAATCACTCTTAAAGTAGTCGAAATGTCGACATAAAAATTGTCTTATTCAATAATAAAGTTAGTTGAATAAAATAAAATTTAAAAAAAGAAATTATGTTTAAAGCTGCTGTTAAATCATTAATTTTCATATTTAAATTATTACCCGTAAACGAAAAATTAGCTTTCAATCAATTTTTTTCGATAAAAAACTGACTAAAATCAGTATTAACAGAAAAAGTAAGACTGACCTTGGATTTAGATTTCCCCTTTCTGATTACCTTTGGTTAAGTATTTTCAGAAAAATATTCATAATGAATAATTAATTAATAATTAATAATTGATTAATCAAAACTGACCTCGGCTTTGAAATCTCCATCTTCAATTATATTTGGTCAATTCTTATAAAAAATATTAATAATTAATAATCAGCTAGTTAATAATTAATAATGAGTTAACAGTTGTCAACTAATAAAATTAACTCCAGATTTGAATTCTCCACCCTCAATTACCTTTGGTCAAGGTTTATGGAAAATAATCCTTCTGATTTTACATTATTCGTGGACTAATCAGTGACGTACGGACACACAAGCAAGCAAGCAGACAATTTGTGTTTGTTAGACTCTTCTCTACGAGAAAGAGAATAAAGTTCCACTACTGTGTGACAAAACCTATGTGCAAGATTGTCCTTGTCAGAAAGGATGTTCACTTTATCGTTGATCAATTCCGCTTACACTATCGACTGACTCTCCTTTCTCTCTCTCTCTCTTATATCGGACCGACATAGAAAGAGAGAAGAAGGCAATCAAGTATGACGGTCATGATAGAGTAAGTGAATTACACGTGTACAAAGCGGTCAAACATGTGTAGAACGATTATAAGGTTGATAGAGAGAACGCTAAGAGTCAAGGTGTTACTATTTGTAACATACTGGTGTATGATTGGTTTTGTCTTTTACATAATAATGATAGCGATATAGATTTCTTTTCAATGTCATTTCGTCGATCGAATTTCTCTGAAGAGCATTTTTAAATTTTTTGAATTTTTTTTTTACTGAATTCATTAGCTATTTGGACATAATTAGGTGCAAGATCAGATAAATAGTAATTATTATATTTGTTATCTAAATGATTTTTAACATTGTATTACAAACGTGTTTTTCGTAGAAATTGTATAGGAACTTGTTATGTTACATCTTATTTTCAGTCACATTGTCGCAAAAAAGTGAGCACAAGTATGACTGATGTCAAATTTCTGACTATTTTATCATTAAAATACTTCATCACGAATGAGTTTCATTCTATTTGATTGAAAAAATAAATCTATAAATCAACAAAGTCATCGTTGTAAAAAAAAAGGCCATCTGATAGCGACAATGCTTTATTGCTATTGTGATCTAGTTTTGTAAAGCAAATTTCATGAAGTTTCTAGACGAAGACCTATGAGCAAGTACGAAACAATAAATCTTCGCAATTATACTAAAGTACATTTATTTGATTGTCCTTGAAATGAATGACCTGATGTATTATTAGCTTTGTGTGCTTCAAGAACAATGAAATTTCTTTTGTCATCATCAATATGAGAAAATTGAAACATGACATATATCTTATTGCATATGTCATTCTTAAAAGGCTTTAAATGTTTTTTTTTTCTGCTTAGTTCTATTTCATTTTGATTTTCTTATTATAGTGGTGAACATTTTTCACAGTGCTTGTATCAAACAGAATAAAGTTTTACTTTCGGATGATGTCACTGAATTATCTTGTTGTCCTTTCCTTGTTTACATGGATGTAAGTATCTATTCGACATGTTTCCTAACGATAGTGGATAATCATTTGTAGTTTTTCATTTCTTTCTGCATACATAGTCATTTATTCATATGACAACTAAGTTTAATCAACAAGAGTTAATAAAAGAATAAGAGAGAGATTAATTGAATAAACAATTTGATTTTCAGTTTTTTGAGTTGGGAATTTTTGTTCAAAGAACTTGTGCGATTAGCTGATTCGGCTGCTAAACAT